GAGACCCCTTCTGAAGAAGAGCAATTTAGATTTTAATGATTTTAACAACTACAGACCGGTATCCAACTTACCATTTTTAAGCAAAATTTTAGAAAAAAACTTGTTTTTACCCAGCTCAATGCCTTTTTAGATCAGCAGCAAATTTTAGAGAAATTTCAATCAGGTTTTAGGGTGAACCACAGCACAGAGACTGCTCTTTTAAAGATTTTAAACGATCTTAGACTAAGTTATGATTTCAAAAAGGTGACTGTGTTGGTTCTACTGGATCTTAGCGCTGCCTTTGATACAGTAGACCACACAATTCTTTTATCACGCCTACAACACCTCGGCCTCTCTGGTGCTGTCCACAAATGGTTCACTTCTTATTTAACAGACAGATCCTTCATGGTAAGTTTGGATACCTGCTCCTCTCAGGTCCATAAAATCACATGTGGTGTGCCCCAGGGTTCCATTTTAGGTCCAGTCCTTTTTAACCTGTACATGCTCCCTCTTGGCGGTGTCGTCAGGAGACATGGAATTAACTTCCACAGTTATGCAGATGATACACAGCTGTACATCTCCATGTCTCCTGATGACACCAGGCCAATGGATGCTCTTTTTAACTGCATTTTAGACCTGAAATCCTGGATGGCAGAAAACTTTCTCCAGCTTAACCAGGACAAAACTGAGGTTTTAGTCATCGGTCCTGAGGCCCAGAGAGAGAAACTTTTATCAAAACTCCAATCACACTCTTTTAATCCATCATCACAAGTGAAAAATCTGGGCGTAATCTTTGACTCTGAGCTGACTTTTATTCCTCACATCAAGAGTATCACAAAAATAGGTTTTTATCATCTAAAGAACATCGCCAGAGTCCGCCCCATTCTCTCTCGGGGCAACACGGAGACGCTGATGCATGCTTTTATCACCAGTCGCATTGACTACTGTAATGCCCTGCTCTCTGGTCTTCCCAAAAAGAACATTGCAAGTCTTCAATTACTCCAAAACTCGGCCGCACGTGTCCTGACTAAGACCAGGGGGCGGGACCACATTACACCGGTTTTAAAATCGCTGCATTGGCTCCCCGTGTGTTTCAGAATCGATTTTAAGGTTCTTTTAATGGTTTTTAAATGTCTTAATGGTCTTGGGCCTTCTTATCTTTCAGATTTGCTTTTATCCTATGAACCTTCCCGGCCCCTGCGCTCCTCCGGCAGCAGACTCCTAACCATCCCCAAAGTCAGGACACACACTCACGGCGAGGCAACTTTCCAGCACTACGGCCCCCGTCTCTGGAACAGTCTGCCGGAGGAGCTCAGGGCCGCAGAGAACGTTCATATTTTTAAAAGTAGGCTCAAGACGCACCTTTTTAGAGTAGCTTTTGATTAGTTTTTATTATTCCATTCTATTTATCTTTTATTATTTATTATTTATTATATTGCTATTGCTATTATTCATGTATTGTGTGTTCCTTTTAGTCTCACATTTTAGTGTTTTACTTATTGTATTGTTTTTAGTGTACCCAGTGTTTCCTCTGGAGGAGCCCTCTGCACCGGGAGCAGTGGTCGGTGTGGCTGCGGGGGTCGGACTCTTGGGCCTGGTGGGGGCCTGGGGCCTCGGTTTCATGTCTCCTCTGGGTCCTGTGTCGTCCCCTGTGGCTACGGGCGGCTCTCTGCTCCTGGTGCAGACGGCTCCTTGGATGACGCTTTTTCAGCTGGTTGCATCTGAACCCTGCCAAGTCTCTCATCATGTTTTTATTGTTTTACTGGTGTGTGTGTGTGTGTGTGTGTGTGTGTGTGTGTGTGTATGTGTTCATGAGCGCGTGTGTGTGTGTTTGTCTGTGGTTTGGGGGGGGTCTGTTGGGTGGTCTGGGGGAGGGGTCTTGGGCCGGCGGGATTGTTTTTAACCAATCTGTAAAGCACTTTGTGTTGCATCTTATGTATGAAAAGCGCTTTATAAATAAAATTTGATTGATTGATTGATTGAACTAATGCAGGGGTTAGAATACAGTTTAACTGTTGCCCCACAAACAAGAAAATTCACCAATATAACAATATATTATCCCAATAAAATAGGATTTCAAGATTAATATTAAAAGATTCTTTGTTCATCTCACGGTGGGGAAATTTCAGTCTTACATCACAGGTAGGAAAGCACAACTCTATTCTTTAAAAAAAATAAAATACAATGTTTAGTTTTTATATAGTATTTTCAGTTTAATAAAGAAGCAGTATTCATACTTAAGTGCTTGAAATATATACTTGTAAGTGTAGAAGAGGCCATAATATGCCGAACAGGAAAAAAATTCTAATCAAATGTGCCGATAAAAATATGACAAAAAAGGTTTATGTAAGAATACAGTTAATATGTGCACTTCTAAACATCACAAACTCTTGAAAAACAAACGTAGGTATTTTTATGCAAAAGCCTTCAGCATAAGGGCCTTTATCAGTTGAGGTTAAATATCAATGTGTCGTCTGACTTTCATTTCAACCCAGAGATTCCCTAACGATCCACCATCAGTGACCTTTTTAGAATCAGCCTAAAAGCCCGTCCGCTGTCAGCGCAGGCTGTAAGAGCAGGTGCACATGGCATTAAGGAGTTCAGGTCAAAGTGATGGAAGTAGTTATAGCTCAGCTCTCTACACGTTGACAGGATAAACGTTTTGAAGACACACTGAGCTGTAGGTTTAATAATAGTTTTAAATGTAGTTACAAAACAGTTACTTTTCAAGGGACTAGGACAACACCAATGTTGAGCTACCGTACAGGACTTCAGGTCACCTGCGGATGACAGACCTACATTTCCATTTAGTCGTTTAGTTTTCATTTTCATTTCATTTCAATTTCATTTAGGTACCTACGTTGCGACCTGTGCAAGTGTGTACACACAGACCAACACGTGTGTGTGTGTGTGTGTGGATAGTTTCCTCTCCGTGATTTGTAGCTCACAGTGTGGCACAAAGAAAACAATTAATTAGCGAGCCTTGTTTATCAGAGAACATTTGTTTTTCTCCTGACAATGACAGTCGGAGGTCTGTTCATGTTTGTTCTTGTATATTCTATTCCCACAATAGTATCTTATCATTATTTTCAGATTGTTACTTCCATATTATTTTAATTGTGAAAAACTATGGGAGCTACAGTCACAACGCAATTTCCTTTGAGGATCAGTAAAGTCGGTCTAAGTCTAAGTCTATTGTCTCTCAAACTCTCACTGAGCCCCATTAACACCAGACCCAGCGGTGCGGCAGTTTTGTTTGTGGCACAGAACTCCAACAGTGTTTGCCTTGGACGGAAGGAGTCGACTTATGAAAAGGTTTTGGTGGCTAGCAACCAAAAGCCACAGTCCCTACTAAAGCGACTTGCAAGCTAACGCCAAATATGGAGACCTTAGGAACACAATTGGCAGTTGTTAGGACTCACAACAGGATTCTCACAGATTATATCGAAATATAAACACCAGTATCACAACAAACGCTCTACCATGGATTTGAGCACTTCACTGTTGGTATTCATTTAGCTAGTAGAAGATTAGCATTGTCCATTTATATACAGTCTATGAACCTAATGAATATAGTCTTTTAACCATAACATCTTTAGAACATTCTCTTACACCGTGTCCTCTAGATCCACAGATCTGATTAGGGAACCTCATAATACTGATGAATGAAGAAGATTAATTGCCTGTCAAACGTCACGTATTTTGTCACGTCACACATTTCAGCTCAATCCCCGGTCCCAATCCTGCCTGCATGCACACACACCCATGTGAGACACAATTACTGTTGGCGGGGTAACTCATCACACAATTAAAGTGATTGTCTGGAGTTTGTCAAAAAAAAGAGAGAAAGGTACATGATTAAAAGAAAAAGAAAAAAGCTCCCTCCCCTTCCTTTCTCATTGGTCTACGCCTACGATTCCGTAACAATCAATCAACACATTTCAATGTTAATCAGAGAACACATTATACTTATACGTTATTAATACACATGCACAGAGGTTTTCATAATTATTTGTTAATGTTTTCATGACAAAAATAATGTTTTAATGCGAAAAAAAAAGCGATCGCGGTAAACCCGGAAGTAGCTATTCATGAAGTAGCTATCATGAATTGAACATTATAGGACCTGCCGAGGATCTGATTATGGATATAGGTTTAGTATATAAATAATTATGGATATAGGTTCAGTATTAATGGGTAACTCAGTGCGGATGTTCAGAATTCTTTGTTCAGTTTTCATGTAGTTCCAGAGCCTAATGGAGGCTTGATTCGGAGGCTCCGTGAACACAAACAACTGAGCATGCGCGCAGCTGCGAGCATGAGCGCCGATGATTGACAGCACATGGCATCACTTGATTGGTTAAAGTGGACGGCATCGTGGATTTTGAGCTATAGCTAAGAGAAGGGAAGGCGGGACTTACCCGGAAAATGAGAAATCATTAAATGACTTATTTTATATCAACATTTAAGGCCAGGAGGCCAATTATATACAATTCTTAAAATGTGTCATTCATTTAAAGTTCCAGACTATCACTTTAAAGTGCAACACAAATTATGCACACAACAGATACAACAACATTATTCGACAATGACATCTCAAAGCCACACATAACACAAAAGACATGACATGGACAGGCTGCATAAACAAACACACAGATACTAGACGAGCGGCATCAACAGCTACTCTTCACATGTGCTCCTATTTAGAGTAAAATTAAATAAGAAATAAAATGTTGCGCAGAGGAGTTTTAGTTATTTACTGACATGAAAAGTTGGCATGATTTGTCTTCTAGCGTTTAAGAGCTTTAACTAACAATGATCTTATAAAGTTTTAGCTGCGGCCGATTTTCTCTGGCCACTCAAATAAGCTCCGATATAAATATAAATATAAATTATGGTTTACAAGAAGCGCTAATCAGGACATACCTCCTCTAACTCATGGAGAGGAAAATTGCGCAAAAAAATCCTGCAGAAAAACAAATGTGCAGCCGACTAGAATCTGTGTAGAGATTAAAACTCACCTATGATGAAGACATAGAGGGCTGCCACGATGTCGGCCTCGGGGGACAGTTTGGAACTGAAGGGGTCTTCTCTGAGCAGGTAGTGAGGGACATAGGGCTGGTTCCACGTTTCATTCTCCATCAGAGAGTGAACTACAAAGAAAACATTCATTCATCACTAGTTTGTCCCTTATCAGAAAACGCAGGTGGATGCGGACTGAAGATATGTTTAGGAAATTAGGGGATATAATGAGTCCATAGATGACATATGATCGAGAGATTGTTCTCAAGAGAGTAATATTGTACAACTTTACTCACCCTGACATGATACACACGGAGGTCAAGTTGAAAAGCAAACAGCAGAGATATAGCTGATGTAATGCATACATGAAAGTATACTATATAAATAATACATCAAAATAACTGCATAATATGTTGGTGTTTATTCAAGAGATTACACAAACATGCCAAAGTGCTACACAGAGGGATAAAAACACAGAGCAGTGAAATATAGGACAAGAGGCCCACCTTAAGACACACAATGCATAGCGGACATACAGTATTGGTGACCTATATGTGGCTACATCCGAAGTTGTATTCTGACAAGTTTCTAAGTCATTTGAGCTTCTCTTGATGTGTTTTTTTTCTAAAAGCTTTAACTGTTTGAACCATTTCTTTTGGACAAAAGGAGCAATAAAAAACACCCCCCTGCAAAAGAACATTTGATTTCAGTTGTCATTTGTGGTAAAACACATATTTTGACAAAAGACTTAAACTTAGAGTCCAGACAGTGACATAACAGAGACTCCAGTATATAGAAAACAGTATTGTGCACTGAAAAAAAATGGGTTGTCAACCTTCGACAATAAAGGCAGCTGTTTAAAAGTGGAAACTTTCTAACAACTAATCCTTTCCCAAGCCTTGCAGAGTTTGTTCTGGTGTCACTTTTTGTCTATTCACACCTCGCAACCAGCAGTACCTAGGTCCAGGGGGATTATACGCAGCACACAAGCAATGATCATCACAGACAAAGTACCACAAATTAATAGTTTGCCGGGTAAAGTTCTTTGGACACAGTGCAGCAGGTGGGACACTGGATGGTCCTGTTTTAGAGAGCAGCTTCAGTAACAGACTGGTCCACCCTCACTGTGAGATGGAGAGATACTACAGGTTGTTCTCACTGCAAGGAACACAACTTTGTTTATACCATTCAACTGGATCATATGTAACAACAATGTGCAATGCTGTATACATGTAATATGACACACTGTTCAGAGTCCACTGACACTAGTCAGTATCTGCTATTTATTTTGTCCATATCATGTGCATCTTATTAACCAGTTGTAGCAATGACTGGAAATATTAGAATGAAATCCTTACTGCTACCTAGAAGAGTCACTTTTTACACCTTTCTATTTTAGACTTTAAACTTTTCTATTTTAGTTCTGGGCAATATGTATCTAATCTATAATAAATTGATCTGTAAGGATACTTGCATAATCTACCTTTTCTACTTCTTAGGTATAATTAATGTGCATTACTTCTATTTTTAAGCTTAGAGAAATAAAGTGTTCTACAGGAGGGAGACTGTCTGGCGCTCCTGTGATCGAGGTCTGTGTGTTTATAACATCCACAAACACTAATCTGTGCAAAACTCGTAGCACATTGGTCATGCTCTGGCTGCAGTCCAAACTTTTTTTATCCAGGGCTGACCACATGACCATATACCATCCACACATTAGAACGAAGTGTACAGACTGAGTACTGATGTCACTCAGAGCCTTTGCCTTTCTCCCAAAAGAAACCAAAATGAGCCAAAGCCAAGTAGACTCTATGGCCCACATTTATGAAACTTGCGCAGAAAAGGGTGTACAGTATAATTATTTTTGGTGTATTTTCCATTTACGCCAGACTCAACGCGGGATTTATGAACATGTGAGATACGCACAGATCTGAGCGTACGCAGTGTATTTATGAAAGTCACGCCTAGAAATATTCACAAAACGCCCCGTTTTTATGACAGCTCAGCATGCAGTCGGCCAGCAAGTCTAGTTGGAAGCCTCAGAAGGCCTGTAAGTGACACGTAAGTTTATATTGAGTATTGTATTATTTAGTCAAAAAAGAAACCAAAAACTATTATTGTTTATTATTGTCAAAAACCATTATTATTGTCATTGTCATATTGCCCAATTTGTCATAACCTGGCTCAAGGCCATGACAAATGTGGACGCAGACCACCAAAATTGGATACTTAAAGTTAGAAGATGTCGCTCTCTGTGAGAGAGAAAAGGATGCGTATGAGTCAGATTAAGATTAAGAGATCTTTTATTCCTCCTACAGTGGGGAAATCTCAGTCCCCATTTCAGTCCGTGATATCACAGAGAAACCACGAGTGCGGTGGGACCTCAGTGGCACCTGCTGCGCAGTGCGCTCTGCCCGTGAGCCCGTTCCCACAAAAAAAAAGCTTTGCCATATCTCTGTCATCGCTGCGTTAATGGGGCATTCTGCACAAAACTAATGAAAAAATACATTGTTTTGCCAGAGGTGAATGAGACAAAACAAATAGCCATGCGCGATTACGCAGGGTCTGCCACAGATACGGAGAAATAGATGGTCACACATTAAGTAAGTAAGTAAGCCAGGTGTATTTGTAAAGCACCTTCACAGAGCAGGATCACAAAGTGCTTCACATTAAAAATATAAAAAGATACAGATGAAAATAATACACACACAAGTCAGATATAAAAACAAAGAAACAGAAGAGGGTCCTCATCATGAACGAATCAGGAACTGTGATTTATTCGAAATTTGCGTGTTTCCAGAGTGTTAGAGTTTTTCTGACGCGCAAATTCAAATTTAGAATCAAGGAAAAGCAGCTTATAATTTTGCCAGAGTGGGAATATGTTTATTGTTGTCCAAATCTTGCATTTCATGTGTGCTATTTGCGTGTTGAGATAAAGGTTGAGATGGGTGTAAAATGTACACCACCTCCAGAGTCGGCGTATATTTTGTGCGTACCGTACGCTTACTTCCAGATTGATAAATGCCGAAAAGTTTAATAAATGAGAGCCTATGAGTGGGAAATGGTGGGTTGTTCCAGAATTCATAGATAAAAGGTCTTACAAACCTTATGCAGGGTTTTCCCTTCAGAGGGAAAAGAATGCAACATAAGCCAGAAAACGGTTAATTAAATGATCTTTACAATCAATTAAGGGAGTAAGGTGCTGTTCACACGAGGACGCTGCCACAGTAAAACGTTAGAGCTAGGTTTCGGATCGGCCTCTTGTTTACACGAAGATGTTGTTTCCGTCATCATGTAAACTCTGTGCACTTTGAACAAGGAGTCTGGTCGTTTTTGTAAATTGCTTTCTTCTTAACGGGGCCAAGAATCGGAGCATCTTTTTATTAAAAAGATAAAATTTTTGATAAATTTTTTTAAGGCACAATACAATTTTTAGGGAAATAATTTTGAGATTTTCTTCTGCGGCCCATGCAAAGGCAATGTGTGACATGTGATTTCCAATGTGACCCCCTTTTTTATCTTTTTTTATGGAAGGTATACATAGTTCCCACATGACGTCACTACATACGGGGATTTGCCGACCCGGCGCCATTTGTGTTGGCATTCTGTGGGCAAAACAATAGAAAAAGAAGCTGAAACGTGTTAATGTCGTGATAAAGTTGAAAATGGTCATCTCCTGCTGGGTCAATGGATGTTCAAATCGTGCCGGAGGTTCCGTTAAACTTGGATTTTACAGTATACCCATCATTAGACTTCATGAATGTGAGAAGACTAAGCTTTTGTCAGAACAACCACGGAGGTTATGGCTTGCGAAGATAAACAGGCAAGAAACTCCCTCAAAACACGCAAGAATATGCTCGGAGCACTTTGTGTCAGGTGCGTATCGTATCTTATAATGTGTTGACAGACGTAATTTACTCAGTACTAACTTGTGTATGCTGATAGCTGGTAACTTGAGAGTTTCATTATTTAGCGTTAGATTACTTTATTATGAGGAGGATCGGTGTCGCGTCCGAGGCTCTCGAGGGCAACGTAAATGTATTAAATAGATAATAATAGTTCTATGGTGGGCTAAAACAATGTTCACAAACCGCATTGCTTCTGTAAAAAGATCTGTGTCATAAAATAAACTGCTCTTTACGCCTGGAAAAATCAGTTGCCCACCATTCACCAAAACATACGGTCAAAAACGCGGAAATAAACAATAACAGCAATCCAGAGTGTCCGTGTGGCATTAGCATTAATTAAATTAATTGTTAATATAATTAAAATAATTAAATGGAGCTCCAACTGGTATTAAATCTAAAGTTTTTGAGAAATGTTTGCATTGCTTGTTAATTTTTGCTGCATAATTTGATCAAATATGTAAAACATGTCCGTAGCACGTTAAACTGTGGTGCCATTGTATTAATATACAATTATTTGCTCAAAAGTTGCCCTTTTTTTCCAATTTGCGTTTGAATATCTACATTTATTCTCATTCTTCTGTTTAATGGAATGCACAAACACAGCAGCGTGCCATCAAAGATGGCGTCTCCGAGGAGGTCATGTGACATTCATTGGTCTGTGGGAACTATGTATATACAGTATGGAGCAGCACATAATGTTTGTGCAGATCTCATAAGAGCCTGCAGGGGGCTCTAACCTGTTGTCCTGTTTCACATATCTCCCCAAAGGATTCATGAGATTTAACAGATAATGCTGAATAAATGTGGACCTTATGTGCTCTGGTCCAGGGCAATGCATTGTAATAGCAAATGTTTGCATGTAAGTATTCTCCGGATGAATTAGAGTGTCATTACTAGAACACACATGTGTAGCTTTCTGCTATTTCTTTTTTGTAAAATAAGTTTTTCGATGACAAAAGGTTGGGGACTTTTGCTATAGAGAGTGTGCCCCACGCACTAGGGGAAGGCAGGAGGGGCAGTGGGGGCACATAAACTGAAGAAACAGACAAACGACTTGGACGCACACAGACACAGACAGCGGAAACACACACAGCAGGAGGGTGACATTAATTGAAGAATCAAATTATTTGGACATTTTGACAAAAGAAACATGTGTGCAATTTAACAACATTTGGAGTCTGCCATTTCATATTTTCTTGCGGCCAATGTAAA